AAATCTTTTCATTGGTGCATTATAGCCCCTCACATGAACATATATATATATACATATTTTTTAAATGCTAATAGGCTTTTACTACATTTAAAAAAATGCACATGCATTTACATTTTAACATAATTAAATCCAGGCTGTTGTCAGGGTGACTTTCCCAGATTTCTGACTTTTTTTAAACATGATGCAGGGAATATTTTATTATAGCCCAGCCTATGGGATACTCCTTCACACACACACACACCAGTGTACCAGGTTACCAGCTCCATAGGGCAAGAACTGCATCTATCATCCCTTAAATCCCAGGGCCTGTCATAGACACTGGCACATAGTGGGTGCTTAGAAAATGCTCAACTAAATGTAGTTTGTCTCCTCCATTTTTAACTTTTCACTATTCCCCAAACCCTGGAAGAGTCCCCTATAGGGGCCACTGCTGAAGCCCGGTATGTTGTTATGTATAAGATCGTAGACTCTGCAGTCATGTTAGCCCATTTTCAGGTTGCAGCTCTGTTGGTTACCAGCTGTGAGACTTTGGTAAAGTCTCTCGACCTCTCTGAGCCCTGATTTCACGTGCTGGAAATAGAGATAATCATAACACTTATTTGCAGGGTGGTTCTGAGAAGGAAATAGACAATAAATATATTACCCAGTCAGCCCAGTACCCAGAGAATAGGGAACCCTCAGTAAGTGGTTAACAAAGAAGCCTTTCCTCCTCCACTCACCTCTTACCCAGCTTCAAAGAGCTGGCATCCTGCCCACCTATTTGGCCTCCCACCTTCAACCATTTCCCAGATTTCCCAGGACTCTTCCGTTTTTCTTTTTCTTGTTTTTTTTGTTTTGTTTTGTTTTTGTTTTTGACACAGAGTCTTGCTCTGTCACCCTGGCTACAGTGAGTGGTGTCACCATAGCTCACAGCAACCTCAGACTCCTGGGCTCAAGCAATCCTCCTGCCTCAGCCTCCTGAGTAGCTGGGACTACAGGTGTGCGCCATGACGCCTGGCTAATTTTTCTATTTTTAGTAGAGACAGGGTCTTGCTCTTGCTCAGGCTGGTCTCCAACTCCTGACCTCAAGCAATCCTCCCACCTTAGCTTCCCAGAATGCTAAGAATACAGGCGTGAGCCACCTAGAGCCCGCCTTCACAGGGCACCCTCCTGACCTGTGGCATCTGACGCTGTGGTCTCCCCCAAAACCCTACAGCTCTCCTCCCTGCTGCCTCACCCCCTCTTGTCTGCTCTCGCCACTTCATCCCCATTAGGCCCCTTTACCTGGATCTGAGACCACCTGCCTGGGCCAAGGAGAGAGCTCAGTGAGGCTGGAGGTCAGGACTCGTGGATTTCCATGGAGACAAAGACGGCTGAGGCCCCATCCCTCGGCTCCTGTTCTCCCAGAGGAACCCCAGCCTCAGCCCTTTCACAGAGGGAAGAGCAATCTTTAAATACTTACATTCGATCAGAACAACCCCCTTTTTAAACACTCAGAAGCTTCCCAGAGCTCTTAGAATGAGACCAGAATAACCACCTCCCCTGTGACAGCCATAATGACTTTCTCTTCGTCCTTTGAATTCACAAAGTTCCCTCCAGCCTCAGAGGCTTGGGCTACTCCCTCTACTTGGAGAGCTCGCCCCAACAACAATACACCTGTCCTAAGTAGCTTAATTTCACACCTCAGCTTTTTATTTTGAAATGTTTCAAACCTATGTAAAAGTTGAAAGAACAGTATGATAAACATTTGAATACATACTCTTTACTGTTTCTTCATGGATTTGCCAATTGTTAATATTTTGCATGTTTTATCTTTGTCTCTCTCTCTCTACACATACACACATGCACACATATTTTTTGAACCATTTGAAAGTGAGTTGTGCACATCATAACATTTGAAATATTTCCGTATGTGTCTCCTAAGAACAATAACATTCTCCTATATAACTACAAAGAAATTATCACATTTGAGGAATTTAACATTAATACAATAATATACTAGCAGATTTTCATAAATATTCCCAATGTCTCATTTTGGCCGGGTGCGGTGGCTCATGCTTGTAATCCTAGCACTCTGGGAGGCTGACGGGGGAGGATCGCTTGAGCTCAGGAGTTAGAGACCACCCTGCGCAAGCATGAGACCACCGTCTCTACTAAAAATAGTAAAAATTAGCCGGGTGTGGTGTTGCACACCTGTAGTCCCAGCTACTCAGGAGGCTGAGGCAGGAGGATTAGCTTGAGCCCAGGAGTTTGAGGTTGCTGTGAGCTAGGATGATGCCACGGCACTCTAGCCTGGGTGATAGAGTGAGACTCTGTCTCAAATAAAAAAAAAACATATAACATGTCATTTTAACCTGTTTTGTTGTTGTTTTAATCCAGACTTCAATCAGAGAAGCATCAATTGCATTTGATTGCCATGTCTCTTTCCTCTCCTTTAATCTACAACAACCTCCCTACCTTTGTGTGTGTGTGTGTGTGTGTGTGTGTGTGTGTGTGTGTGACATAAATATTTTCTAAAGAGTCCAGGCCAATTGTCTTTTAAATTGTGCCACAGTCTGGATTTGCTGATTATTTTCTCCTAGTTAGAGTCATGTAAAGCAGCCTTGGTAAGAGCACTCCATGCGTCTACTTCTCACTGCCTCACAGCAGGAATCGTTTAATGTTGGTTTGTCCCATTGTCAATGATGCTAAATTTGTTCATATGGTGAAAGCCGTGTCCCCAGATCTCTCCATCATAATGATATTTTTAAATATTTGGGATTCATAAATAATCTGTGGATAATACTTTCGGACATGTGGCAACCCTTCATGCAATTTTAGTATTTACTGATGATCCTTGCCTGGATCTGTTTTCACATCGGTAGTTACAAAGTGGTGATTTTCTCTCATTCCTTCCACATTTATTTGCTGGCATTCTCCTGCAGATCACCTGGATAAGTTCTTCAGATTTAAATTCACTGTCTTGTCCTCAGGAAGCCTAGACTGACTGAGCTCCCTAACCCCGAGCAGGACTCTCCTCACACCCCCTTTTAGCCTCTGCTCTTGGGCTCCATAGGACTTGTCACAATTGCTATTAATTTATTGTGTAATTATTTAATATCGGCCTCTCCGTGTGCACCATGAGCACCATGGAGACATTTGTGTCATGTTCACAGCTGTAGCCCGAGCACCTAGCCCAGTGTGTGGTATACAGTAATTACTCCACAAATACTTGATGAATAAATGGATGCAGAATTCAAACTCTTCCCACTTTGGGGAAGGAGGAATGAGATTCCTGCTTTCCCTTCCAAACGTAACTTTATGTTTGCTGTGACGGTGTAGAGGTCACACACAGCAGCTGTGTGCTCTGTTCCGAGTCTTAGACTTAGTCCAGCTACTTGGATATCAGGAGATCAGGAGATCGCAGATTAGGAGAAATCTTAGGCAGGGACAGACCTTAGAAAAATTGTGAAGAAATTCTCGATTGTGAGTGTTTACGTGTGCTCACACACACACATACACACGCACACGCACGAACACACACACACGCGCACGCACACACACAAAAACACACACACAAACACACACATACTTTCATGCCTTCAAAGCCTGCCCTGCAGCCTTTCCCGTGGTGCTTAACTGTCTTCACTGGCGTCTTCCTGCTCATTCAGGCAACAAATATTTATTGAGGAACTTCTCTGTGCCAGATGGTGCCCACAGTTATCTAATGGGCAGACTGTGTGTGTGCCAGGGCTGCTTCCCCCTCCTCCTGCAAATTGAAGTAATTTTCCTTTTTGAAAATTAAAAAAAACAAATTATGGTAATTGTGACTGTGGGCCAGGCATGGTGGTGCACACCTATAATCCCAGCTAGTGGGAAGGCTGAGGTGAGATGATCGCTTGAGCCCAGGAGTTCGAGGCTGCAGTGAGCTATGATTGCACCACTGCACTCTACCCTGGGTGACAGAGCGAGACCCTGTCTCAAAAAAAGGGAAAAGAAAAGAAGGAAAAAAGAAAAAGAAGAAAAAGAAAAAAGAAATTGTTACTAAGGGGAAAATCCTAGTTGAGTTGAAATTCCCCTTAGGATTCTCTTATAGTTTAGTATTTTTTAAACTTATGATCATTTCATTGTTTTATTTTTAGTGCTCAGAGCCTCTAAAAGTCTCAGTTAGGTCCAGGTGCCAGGCCTGTGCTAGGTGCTTCAGTAGGAAGCAGGCAGACACAGGCCCTGCCTCACAGAGGTCAATGTGGGGGAGGAGCAGACAGATACAACAGCAGCCACAATGTGACTAGTGCCACCAAGGGGCAGCCACTGGGGTGGGAGCACAGCGCAGGCACCTGGCCCAGCCTGGGTGGGTTTGGGGATCCACTCTGATAAATTTTAGTCATGCGACCAAGGCACAGGTGGAGGGGTTGGCATTACAGGGAACACCAGCTGCCCAGGAATCACAGCAACAGGGAGCTTAAGGAATAGGGAAGTGCCTCAGAAAAGGTTTGATGAATGAATGTTTGCAAGTGGGTCTGGGGTGTTCTTGTAAAATAGGATGGGCAGGTTCTGATATGCCCATGAATTTTACTCTGAGGACTTAGGAAGCCACTGAAGTGATCAGACTTGGGTTTTAGACATTTCTTTCTTCCTGCTCCAAGGTCTCTTGGGGCCTCCTACATCTTCCTTTAGGTTCTTTCTGGGTTCCCACCTTTTCCTCTAGCTCTGGAACATTCTCCCCCATTTCCTACCTTCACAGTCCTCAGGGGAGGGTCTGATCTCCCTCACTGTGACAGAAAGCCACGCTCTCTCATGGGGACTGGGGGTGTGCAGTGTATTAAATGCATCTGAAACAGTAGAGAGCTGGGTTTGGGGGCTGACTTGTGGGGATCTGGCTTCTGAGGACTATATAAGCACCTCCCGCCTTGCAGAAGGGAGCAGGTCTTGGGCACGGGGTAAGCATAGGGTACTAGATTTGGGAGCCCTGGGAGGGGACAGGAGGGGTACGAGCTGTGCTGGCCTGGGAGACTGTGCTCACCATCCCACTCTCTCCCCAGCTCCCAAAATGGCGATGACACCGGCACCTGGCCCAACAACCAGTTTGACACAGAGATGCTGCAAGCCATGATCTTGGCCTCTGCCAGTGGTAAGTGGAGCCGATGTGTGGGATGGCAGACCTGGGGCCCTGGAGTGCCTCCCGTAGCCACCATGCCCGGAGACTGGATGCCAACCCGTAAAGTTTCTCAAGATCTTTCAGCTGTTCTGAAAGGACCTGTGATGCCAGGACATAAAGCCAGGTTAAGGGACAGCAGAGGGCTTGGGTGTTGCAGGATGCCCAAAGGGGAGCGAACAAGGAAAGATCCATAAGGAGATGGAGGGAGTAATGGTTACAAGTCTAGCTCTGGAAGGGGACAGCATAGGTCAGGTCCTGGCTCTGCCACTTACTATCCTTGTGACTTTGATCAATTTGCTCAATGTCTCTAAACCTCAGTTTCCTCAGCCCAGAAAATGGGGACAGTGACCCCAAAGGGTTGTTGTGAGGATTAAATGAGATGATACCATAGAGCCAAGAGTACCGGGCCTGGCACGCACAGGCCCTCATGCAGTGAAAATGGGTGTGGATATTTCCAGCAGGGAGAACACACTCTGGTTATTGGAGACTCCTTCTCTTTTTGCAGCCCGACCTCCAGAGCAGGATTTTGGTTTTCCCACAGGTTAGCAAAGAGCCTCCCGTGTAATAGAAAGTCAGTCAGTGATTTCTGTCCCTGAAGAGTCACAAGGGTCCTGAGGGGAAGTGAAACATTATCATTAGTACTGACAAGCACAGGCTTTGGAGGCAGGCCAGTCTGGATTCAAATCCTGGTGCCACCAGTTGGCTATGAGTCCTTAGGTAAGTGAATAAGCCTCGGTTTCACTTACTATGAAATGGGCACAATATTAACAGATCTCATGGTGGTGTTGTGAGGGCCAAATGTACAGCCCTCAGCAAGGATTGGCAGAGAGGAAGGGCACAGTACATAGTGGATATAATTAATTATTATCTTTATTGACCTATGAGGGTGGAAGGCAGAGGTACAATAATGCCTATTAATAAGGACTGGTTTCTGGAGCAGCAAATCCTGGGTTTATAGAGAGGCTGGCAGAGGATCAAGGCATTGGCCTTACAGAGTGAAGGAGAGCCCTGCTCTCCAGGTAAAATCACAGTAATCACTATAACCACGCTCCGGCACATGCTAAACAAACTTTGTGGGCCTAGAGTCAGTTAATCCTCTTAACAGCTCTGCAAGGCAGATCTCATTACTTACATTTGACAGATGAGAGAACTGAGAAGTCACTTGCCCCTGGCGCCCGGTTTTTAGCAGTAGAGCTAGGATCCTAACCCAGCTCCACTCCCAATTTCATGCCCTTTTCTATGACAATGACCATGGCTGCTTTTAGATCCAGCCTCAGTTTCCCTTTTAGCTTCCTAGGTCTAGAGGCTGAACTCCTCCTAATGCCCTACATTATTCTCCCAGATCAGGGTTACCAGAAAAAATACAAGATTCCCAATTAAATTTTAATTTCAGATTAACAGCAGGGACTATTTTAGCATAAGTGGGTTTCAAATGTTGCATGAGACACACTGTAATAAAAAGATTACTCATCATTTACCTGAAATTCAAATTTAACTGGGCACCCTGTCTTTTTATTTGCTAACTTTGGCAACCCTAACCGGAACGTCTGTGAGGTTAAGTGGGGCCGGCCTGTGGCTGATGAAAGGCCAGAAGAAGGGCAAGTGGCCGGGGCCGCCAGCCTTCTGGGGCACAGCCGTTCCAGGTCCATGGGGTTGCGAGTCTAGAGAGGCCAGATACTGAATTTGAATGAGGCAGGTGGCCGGGTCTGGGGAGATGCCAAGTGGGGCTCTCGAGGGAAGTAAACAGGTATATTTAGCTGTTGTGGTCTTGCGCCCTAAGGCCAGGAAGCAGGCTTTTTAGCCTAAAGCCAGATGTTAAAAACAGAAATAGAATCAGTATTTATGGCCAAAAACCCTCTCAGCAGGTCCCCCTGGAACAGGGGTCACGAGGTTGGCTCTCCTCCCCTGTCAGGGCTCCACCCTTCTGGCCACACAGGGCCTGACCTAGGTCCAAGCCTGGGCCCCGGGGAGTGGCCCCTCGGGGTGGAGGTGGTGGGTCAGGCCCTGCTCACTTTCACTTCACGCCTGCTTTCTAGCCCTGGACCCAGAGAGGTTCCTGGAGTCCAGCCCAGCCAGGCCTGTGGGGCTGCTGAGGGGGGTGAGAGGGAGAGCGAGAGCCAGCCACACATGGGAGGCTTTTTAAATAAACATTTGGGGGGAGGTACGCTCTCAAGGAGGCTGCGGTTTGCAGCTCAACCAGCTCTGGTCTAGCTTAACCGGGCCTCCCTGGGCTACTCTGGAGATGCTGCCTGGCCCTGGGCTGGGGTGGGCTGGAGGGACGGGGGTGGGAGAGGTAAAGGAGCTGGGAGCTGAGTTTCCCTGAGTAGAGGCTGGAACGGGTGAGGAGGCGAGCATCAACCCCGCCTCCTCCAGACCAGAAGAGGCCCAGGTTCTTGCCGCTCTTCTAAATCTGTTTCTCCTTGGACCAAGAGAAAATCCGGGTCGTTCCCCAACGCGGGCCTTGCAGGGAGGCGGGTATAGAGGGAGGGGCCGCTGGAGAACTGATTCTACAGAAGGTCAAGAAGATGTGGCAATCGGTGTGTAACAGAAAGAGACTGACGCTGGTCTCTGTCTGGTCAGCCATGCTACTAAGGAGCTCTATGACCTAGGCCAAGGTCCTGCATCACTCAGGCCTCAGTTTCCCTTCAGATCTGTGAATCTGAGAGGAAGAGGTTGGATTGCCACATCTTCTCGCCCTCCTGGTCCAGCCCAGCTTGACGGCACCCCACGAGGTGGGCAGGGGCTGGCTTTGTCTTGGGTGCATGTAGGACGAGGGCGGCCCGGCTTCTAGTTACTCAGTCGAACCCTTCCTATGTTCCTATGTTTCGGTTTCTCCCGCGTCTCTCCTCATTCTCTTCTGCGTGCACGAGTGTGAATACGAGACCACCCCCGCCCCCTCTCTTTCCCTGGCGCCTCTGCAGTCCCCTCTCCAGCCCCTAAATCACTCCGGAATCCCGGCTCTTTGAAGCCAGATCTGGGCCCCCTCCCCTCGCCCCTTCCATTCCCGGGCAGCTGAGGCTGGAAGAAGCTGACGGCTGGAGGGGAGGGGGCGGGGCGGCGACCGACCCAGCTCGCTTTTGGAGTTAATTAGGGAAAACAGAGAAATGTCAGTGGGATGGAAGGGCTGAGGGCGGCCCGCCCGGGGAAGGAGAGGAGGAAGTGGGCAGCTGCTCCCTCCCTCCCAATTCCTCTTCCCCAGCCCCAGAAGGCCCCCAGCGCCAGGGATTTGGGACTTGAAGTGGAAGCCGCAGAAACCTGAGCGCCGGAGTGTGGAGGCTGAAAGACTGTCAAGACTGTCGCGCATCTCTGCCTTCTCCCCTCTGTGCCCTCCCCCTCTTATGCCGGCTTTGAAAATATTTCCTGTCTCTCTGTTTCCCAATGCCTGGTTGGTGTCCCAGGATTACTCAGCCTCTCCGGCTTTAGTCACCCTCTCTACCGCTCCCAGGGTCTAGGGTGGGGGCACAGGGAGACTGGGAGGGAAGCTCTCCTGCCCGCCTGGCCCGGACTGGCCCGAGCATTCCTGGGGCTTTAACTCTCTCGCTGCCACAGAGGGTTGCGGGCGCCAGCAGGGAGCCCTAAGGAGTCAGACTCCTGCTTCCTCCCGCCCACGCCCCACCCAGTCAGGGCGAGCGTGCGGGAGAGGCGATGGCACACTGGGTGACAGACATGCTGGAGGGTGATGACAGTGATGACGAAGGCAGCAGCAAACGTCTACTGAACACTCATCAAGTGCCTGGCACTGGATGGAGCACTGTCACAGTGAATCCTCCCACAAACCCTGCGAAGTAGGTACTGCTGTGCTTCTCCGCCTTGCACGCGCACACACATCATCTGGGGGTCTTGTTAAAACGCGGATTCTGAGAGTCTGCGTTTTGAACACGTTCCCAGGTGCTGCCGAGCTAGGGCCAGAGCGTGCCCTTCTCTGGGCCCAGTTTCTTCTGTACAGTGGGAAGTTGGGGGAGGTGCTCTCTGGTGTCACCGAGCTCTGACACCCTGAGCCTATGCCTACACTGCACTCGGGTGTCTGGTTCCCTGGATCATCATCTCCTCCGTCTCATAGAACATGGCTGCCCCCATCTTCTCCCCACCGCCCTTACCCTCACAGTAGGGATAAGGTCCAACCGGTGGTGGTGGTGACTAACTACGCCCACCAGCATAGAGTGCTTAGAGCATATCTGCTTAGAGTAGATATACCTGAGCCTGAGTCCTGCTCTAACAGAGACTGTCTGGCTTGGCCTTGGGCTAGTCTTTTACCTTCTCTACACCTTGGTTCCCTCATGCATAAAATGGGGATAATAATACCACATACCTCACTGGGTTGTGTTGAGGTTACAACTGATCGTGCAAGCCGGGCTAGGTGGGTTATGCCTGTAGTCCCAGCTCTTTGGGAGGCCGAGGTGAGAGAATCACTTAAGGCCAGGAGTTTAAGACCAGCCTGAGCAACACAGCAAGATCCCATCTCAAAAAAACATTTTTTTTTAAATTAGCCAGGTGTGGTCACTTGAGCCTGTAGTCCCAGCTACTTGGGAGGCTCACTGGAGCCCAGGAGTTCGAGACTGCAGTGAGCTGTAATCACACCACTGCACTGCAGCCTGGTGACAGAGCAAAATCCTGTCTCAAAAAAAAAAGTGATCATGAAACATCTAGAAAAGTGCTTGGCACAGAGTAGGCGGTCAAATGCAGTTATGAAATGAATGCTTAGAAGAGCACTCCCCACCTCCACCCACGCATAACGAGTAACAGAACTACTGCATACCTACTCTGTGCCAGGCGCTGGTTGGAGAAGGCTTGGAGCATGTACAAACCACGGTCACTGCCCTCCAGGAGCCCATGGTCGAGCGTGGAGGCCAAAGGCTCCCTTGGTTAGGGGAAGGATTTGAGGGCCAGTGTCTCAGCCCTGAGGGAAATACTTACTAGCGTGTTTTGAGCACTTACCACGTACCGGGCACTATTCTAGGTACCTTACGTACATTTTCTTCTTTAGCCTTCACCAAAACCTGAAGAGGTGGATACTGTTATTATCCCCATTTTGCAGATCAGAAAACTGAGGCAGCATAGGCAGGTTAGGTAGACTTGCCCAGGATCACAGTTAGTAAGAGAAAGAGCTAGGAATCAAACCTAGGCTTTCTTACTCCAGAGCCTCTTAACCTATGCCCTCATCTCCTTGTGGAGAGACGACCGAGGTGACCGCTGTTTTCGCAGTGCTCAGCATGGTCAGGGCCCAGGGTGCTTTGTAGACATTCATTAACTGCTTATGGTATGAGAGAGGGACAGTTAAGGACCCTAAGTTTAACCCCCATCTGATCTTCCTGTGTCTCCACAGAAGCTGCTGATGGAAGCTCCACCCTGGGAGGGGGCGCTGGCACCATGGGCTTGAGTGCCCGCTACGGACCCCAGTTCACCCTGCAGCATGTGCCCGACTACCGCCAGAACGTCTACATCCCTGGCAGCAATGCCACACTGACCAACGCAGCTGGCAAGCGGGATGGCAAGACCCCAGCCGGTGGCAATGGCAATAAGAAGAAGTCGGGCAAGAAGGAGAAGAAGTAATGTGGAGGCCAGGCCTAGAGCCACAGGGCAGCCTCCCTCCCCAACCAGCCCAGCTTCTCCTTACCTGTACCCAGGCCTCAGCATTCAGGGCTCACCCCCAGGATACTGCTAGGGGCCAATGCCATGCTCCCCTTGGGAAACAGAAACAAGTGCCCAGTCAACACCCCCTGTCTGTGCCCCCAGGGGGTTGAATATGCAAAGGGAGTTCTGCTGGGAACCCCCATCCAATCAATTGCTGTACCCATGGGGGTAGTGGGGTTAGTGTAGACACCAAGAACCATTTGTCACACCCCCTTTATTTACAGCTGAACTCCTCCATCTTCCAAATCAACAGGCCCATCCATCCCCTGCCTCCCTGCCCGCCCCACCCCACTCCTTCACCAGTTCCTCTCTCTCGAGTAAGGTGGTTGGGGTGTTGAGGTACCAGGTGACCTAAAAAGGCTCATAGTTCTGAAGACTTGGAAGGACATCATGACCTCTTGGCTTCTCCTTCGATTCTCAATCTTCCCCCAAAGCATGGTTTGGTCCAGTCCCTTCATCTCCTTCCAGACCTGAGACCAATGCTCAAGTTTTGGAGGACATGGTCATCATCCCCATGGTACTTACGCTTGCTGGATTTAGGGAGAGCATTTTGCTACCAAGCCTCTTCCCTACGCCCTGGGGACCAGTCTTTTGTTTTGTTTTGTTTTGTTTTTTATTGTTTGATGTTCCCACTGCATGCTGTGACTACCTTACTCCCTCCTCAAACAAGAGATTCCATTGCATGTTCCAAGACAGTATGGGGTGGTAAGGTAAAGAAGGGAAGTGTGTGTATGCAGATGAGGGGGATGGACAAAGCTTGACCCATAAGTTATCAGGGTCTTTCGGGAGGCTCTGCGTGTCCCCAGGGTACTGACCAGATCCTCAAATACCAGCCATAAACCAATCACCAGGCTGGACCCTCACCCCCCACAAATAGGGCTCAGCCCAGGCAGCCAGCTTTGGGCTGAGCTACTAGGACCAATGGATTTAAACTGGCATTTCAGACCAAGGAATCTCTGAGAAGGTTTAGGATCAGGTCCCCTGGAGGGGTCAGAGGGGCTTCTGTAGGTGCTGGGTACTCCAGAGGTGCCTCTGGTGGAAGCCAGCAGGGCCCCAGCAGGAAGGAAGAGCCACCTGGGCCCTTCTTAGTCCCTGGGTTGAGAAGGCAAGAAACTAGAGCAGGGACCAAGTGGACAGACAGTCTCAGCCCAGGATGGGGCTTCTCCACAGGGGCCCTGCCCTTCTCAAGCCTCGGTCCTCCACCTTGCCAGGTGCCATTTCTTCTCTGTGAAGGCCACTGCCCAGGCCCCCAGTCCGCCCCCTAGTGGCCAGAGCCTGGTTAAAGTCCCCAGTGCCTCCTTGTGCATAGAACTTCCTCTCCCCACGCCCTTCTGCCCCCGGGGTCCCGTTCCTCCAGCGGGGCTGCCAGAGAACCCCACCCCAGCCCCTACAGTAGTGTAGAGCCCTCTCCCGCTTTCGGCCGGTGTAGAATAGCCAGTAGTGTAGTGCGGTGTGCTTTTACGTGATGGCGAGTGGGCAGCGGGCGGCGGGCTCCGCGCAGCCGTCTGTCCCTGAACCTGCCTGCGGCGGCCCGTGCTGTGTTTCGTGCTGTGTCCACGCGCTGCGGCGACCCCTCCCCCGTACTGACTCCTTCTATAAGCGCTTCTCTTCGCATAGTCACGTAGCTCCCACTCCACCCTCTTCCTGTGTCTCACGCAAGTTTTATACTCTAATATTTATATGGCTTTTTTTCTTCGACAAATAATAAAAAGGTTTCTTCTGAAAGGTTGCACGTTTCCGTGTAAGAGATGGAGGCTCCCGGCATGTATGGATGAAGTGATGAGCCGAGAGGTGTGTGCTGGAAGAAGAGAGGAAGCGGGAGGCGACCACTGTGTGCGTCTGGATGTTTCCGAATGGAGGGTGTGTGACTCCAATATGGCTGTGTACCCCTGCAGTCCCGTCGTGCCATGTCACTGTGCGACGGGCCGTGACGGTGCTTGCGGATCTGCACAGCGCCGTGTGTCATCGGCTGGCGGGGCCGCTGCGGGGCGGGGTTTGCGAGCGCGGCGGCCGGCGTGCAAGTGAGCGCGCAGCCGTCTGCTCGCGGCTGTCTCCGGGCAGAAGAGGAGACCCTCGCGCGGGCGCCTGCGCGGGCGGGAAGCCCCGCAAAGAGCGCTGGGGAGGGGCAGAGACGTTCCCTAGTGCCCACCTCTCCTCGCTAAAATCACCTCCCCGAGCGCCCATGCAGGCTTCGCGGGTGGGGGATGGACTCTCCTTTGCCCGCCCCCTCCACCCCCACTGCCTAGGGGTTTGGGGAACGCCGCGGAAGGGGGACGGAGTGCGGGAGGCGATTCTCCGAGGCCAAGACTGTAGGTTGGGCCTCAGTTTCCCCATCTGGAATTCGCCTTCCCGCTTACCTCTCTGCAGCGAAGCTAAAGAAATGGGAGGGCTCATTGCTGTCTTGCGGGGGTCAAGGGGACTGAAAGGACACGCAGGAAATGAGATCGCCCGCAGACCAGCTCTCCTCCCTCCCTCTCTCGGTGCTTTTCCATTCTCTGCCGGCTCTCCCATCTCCCCGCCCCCTCCGCCTGCCTCCTCCGCGCGCGAAGCACCGAGGGATCCCGAGGTTGCTGCCGCCAGAGCAGCAGCGGGAAACACCGGCCGGCCGAGCGGGGACAGGGAGGGCGGTGGGAGGGGCGGCAGGACAGAGAAACACTGAGGCACTGGGGTTATCGGGCGGGTCAGCGAGGCTATGTGGGGCCTGTCGACACTGGGCTTCCTCCGCGGCGGAGTCTCTGAGGGCCGGGTCGCCCGTTCTGCCAGCTCCTGAAGTCTGTTGTCATGGAAACCAAACCTTCCAACTAAGCATATGGGGGTGACTTTCTTGCGTGGGAGGAAGGGTGGTGTGCGCGGTTGCTGAGCTGGAAGGTTTTGTTTCTCAGAGCCAAGCTGCGGAGGGGCGGGGTGCAGGGCGCCTGGGTTCTATTCCAGGCACGACAGCAGACTGGCAGAGCACGTGAGCAGCTGTGGTTGGTCCCCTAATTGGTATGTGTGCCTATAAAGCCCTGAGCCAGAAACGCGTGGCCTCTGGGGGAGAGGGAAAGAGGCGGCAGGCAGCCCACCCCCACCCCTCTGGCCATACTGGGGAGGCAGCTGCCCAGGCTCCAGGGCTATTTAGAAGGCTTTTATTTCTGGTCCCGGAACCTGCCCAAATGAGTTTGTGGTCCCTTCCAGGCCCCTCCCTGTCTATCCTGAGTCTGCTCGTAGCTTGCAAGGTTTCTTTGTGCAGGTCGCAAGGCACTCAGACAACTACGGTTCTAAGTGACAAGTCATCTGGAGCATGACCTTGGGCTTCTGACCTCTGCCAGGCAGGCTCAGGTTCCCAACCCAGTGAAAGCCCCTCTAGTCTGGAATGTGGTCTGTGGCCACCAAAAGAGCAGTGGGAACTGGAAAATGGGAGTCGGATGTCTCCCTCAGCAAGAGAAAGATTAAACTTATGTAGTGACATCTGGGAGCATGGGGTGGTGGGGAGTTAGGACTGAGTTCCAGAAAAGGCCCCAAGCCAAGACAGCAAAGTGAGAGCCGGGGAGCTGAACTGGGCGCCTGCATCTCTACTGAGGGCAAATAGCCCCGAGGTGAGCTCCGGGGCAGAAGCCACCATGTATCAATCATCTCTAACCCTGTGCCCAAGCATAGTGTCTGGCACCTTTAGCTTGTTTGCAACGGTTTGTCAGGTCAACCAGGGGTTTGAGGCAGGAGGAAGAGTAAAGGAGTCTAGACCAGAGTGAAAAGCAAACAGCTCTGAAACTGACAAAGGAGGCTGTGAGGCAGTACCGTTTCAATGCTTTATTAACAGTTGGAAACAAACCCAACAACTGGAGGTGATGACATCCCAGAAGTCCAAGAGGTGAGGGAAATAGATTTGCATTTTGTACCCCCCTTTTTATTAAATGCATCTTAGCAAAAGTAGATTAAAAAAGAAAGGGTCAAAGCCCCAGATGTCCACCAGCAGGGAGGAGGAGTGACCCAGGGGAGCAACAGGTCCCCTGCACCGGAGTCTTCCCAGGAACAGTTCAGAGGAGCTGCCCTTGCCCTTCCTAGGCAGGCTCCAGCAGCCAAAACCCCCTTCCTGGCCGCAAGGCCTCCTTGTAGTTGCCCTCAAGTTTCCTAAGCTCCCCTTGCTCTACCAACTATAATTCTGGGCCAAACCCTCACAGTGCCATTCTTTCTCCCTGGCTGGGGATGGAAAGCTGAAAGGGCCACAGGGAGGGCAAGAATATCATCCTAAGCCAGAGAAGCTGAGCTTCCTCTGGCTAGGACCACCAAACAGTTCAGTTTGCCCGCCGTTCAGAAGAGAGCGGGGGTACGGTGTGCATGGCACTTCCTGTGCCCACTTCCCCAGAGTGTCCAGTTAGCATCTGCACATTTGGCTTGATAAATTTGCTAATTTTATAAAAACTCTGTGGTCTCAGAGCTCCCGCTACTCTTAGGCCTGGCCCAGCTCAACCAGAAGAGGTTCCTCCTGCCCCAGAAATGATGCTGGGAGAGAGAATCTGCCTTGGCCTCAAGGGTCCAGAAGACTTGAGGGCCGAGGTGAAGACTCCAGGGGCATTGGGATTGAGGCCTGTGAGGAGAAACCCCAGGAACTTTGGAACTTGCCATCAAAGCCTCTTAACATTATGGATTTTCGGGAAAAGGGGAAGGAAAAGTTTTCTCTAAAAAAGATTTTTTTTTTCATACAAAAATAGATCCATTTGCAAAACAATTTCTCAGCCAGGAGGCTCCACCTCCCATTTCCTTGGAGACAGAGGGTGGGGTGTTGAGATGGTCACGATACAGCCCATAGTCCAGGCGAGAGGCACCAAAGCTCTGGGGAAGGCATGAGGAACCTTGGATTGGTAGCCTGGGGGCTAGGACAGAGGGTCCAGAGGGCACAAAGCGTGTTAGCAGGCCGGGGACAGGTCCCATACTGTCACTATGCCCCAGCTGCCTGCCACAGGCTCTGGCCTGGGCCATGGCAGAACAGGTAAGTGGTCCAGATCCTTTTGTATTGGCAGGCCTTTCCCAGGAAGGTGGAGTGAGGGCGGGATTTGCTCCCCACGTCCCTAGGAGCAGCTCCCAATGCCACAGCACTAGTAATAAATAACAATCGCCAGGAGAGGGAAGGGAAGAGCAGAGATGATAGCAGTGAAAGGAGGAATCTAGCCCAAAGGTTCATAAGCCCCATGCTGTTCTCAGGGCCAGAGAAACCACAAAAGAAAAGCACAAATCCAGCAAGATTGACCTAAGGGAAAACCTACTGCCCACTGGAAAGTCAGGGGCTGAGGAAGCAGGCCGGGCCTTATCTGAGATTAGGCCCTCTGAGTAACAGAGAGGAGACAGGGTTAAGGCAGCAAACGCGGACCCTGCTTTGGTAATACGACAGCCAGGGCTGGCTGGGTTGGGCTCAGGCCTCCCCCACACTGCCCTTTCCTTCTGGCCTCCAGGCAGCTGAAGCTGTAGGTGATGTTCGGAGAGCAGCAGGCCAGAGAGAGAGACAGGGTCAGGGTGGTGGGAGTGGCCACCCCAGAGGAATACCCCCTCGAGCCTTTAGGCACGTGCTGTAGGGCGGGCAGCCTGGGGCTCCCTTCAGGAGCTGCCACGGCCCCAGGACCCAGCTTAGCTTGCGCGGCCAACTAACTCCTTGGCTTCCTCAAGGATTGCGGGGACTGCCTCACTGTTCTTGGACATCTTGGCAGGAACAGCAGTCATGGCATCGTCCTTGGTCAGCTCCGAAGCTAGCAGAGATGTGACTGCACACCCGGCCTTCCTGTTGGCTGCAAGAGAAGACATGAGGGATCTCATCCATGGAAGGCCTAGTTTCTAATCTCTTTCAAACGCTGTAGCAGACATTCAGCCAGAAGCCATGCAGATGTGGCTGCCTTGTCCAGTTCACTGAGGCCCTTACTTTGGAGAAGGGGCAGAGATCCAACACGTGGGATATACCTTTGGGTAGCAAAGAGTTGAAGAGAGTGTGGTGCAAAAGGAGAGCAAGACTCGCGTGTGCTTCCCTGTGTGAAAACAGTACAAAGGTTTGAATACAGCTAAACAGACAGAATTGGGCGTAAGTGTTAGTTACGTGACTTAAAGAGAGATGAAGAACTCAAAGTCTATTTCTCATAATAGGGCTGTTGGAATTAAATAGACTAAAGCTCAATATATAGCATTATTTTTGTTTCCTTGATAGTTCCCAGGAAGCTCCTAGGCCAACACACTTTTCAGGCAGCCCTGGGAGGGCTGTCCCTAGCAAAAGGCGGCCTTCGGCAGGCTGCTGTGGGGACTCCCGCAAAGAGGAGTTTACTTACTGGCATCACATGTGCATCGTGCTCCCACGCGTTCCTGTAACAGAGGCCCACATGCCTAAGCTCTTTCCCACCTCTTCAAGGGTAGCAGCTGTGATACAAATGCCAAGGGCCCTACACAGTGTATAGAGTGCGTGTGTGTATGGGAGGAGAGGGTAACAAAAGGTATGTCAGGGAAGGTGGAACTGGGACCACCGATGGCTGGGAGTGGACCCCTCCAAAGAAATCTCAGCCCAATTGCCTAAGGGATTGTGAAGATCCAGTTATCAGCCCAAACAGGAAGAAAAGAACCAATCAGTCCATGAGCTTCTGTTGTAACTGCTGGGATTCATCCCCAAGGCCCTCATATTCATCTATGGAATCCAGACTTAGGGCCCCAGTATCCTCAACTGGATGGTGGCTCCTTGGGACCATGCCCATCTCAGGATGTCTGCCTCTTCCTATGCCCCAGAAGCAGCACAGAGCAACTGCACGTACACAAAGAGCTGCCTGGCATGAAAGAAGCCAGATGCAAAAGGGCATATACGTTATGATTCCATATCTATGAAATGACCAGCACAGGCAAATCCATAGAGATAGAAAGTAGATTAGTGATTGCCAGGAGCTGGGAGAGGGGAGCAGCAGAAATAATTGCTAATGGGTATGGGATTTTTCTTTTCGGGATGATGAAAATGTTCTGGAATTAGACAGTGGTGATGGTTGTACAATGTTTTGAGTATATTAAAAATCCTTGAATTGTCCAATAAAATGGTGAATTTTAGGTATGTGAATTATATCTCAATTTTTTAAAAAAGGCCAGGTGTGGTGGCTCAAGCCTGTAATCCCAGCACTTTGGGAGGCCGAGGCAGGAGGAGGATCACTTGAGGCCAGAATTTCGAGACCAGCCTGGCAACACAGTGAAACTCCATCTCTACAAAAAAATTTTAAAAATTAGCTGGGCGGCCAGGTGCGGTGGCTCACACCCATAATCCAAGCATTCTCAGAAGCCAAGGCAGGAAGATAGCCTGAGGTCAGGAGTTCCAAACCAGCCTGAGCAAGAGCGAGACCCCGTCTCTACAAAAAAATAGAAAAATTAACCCTGCATGGTGGCGCATCCCTGTAGTCTCAGCTACTGGGGAGGCTGAGGCAGGAGGATTGCTTAAGCCCGGGAGTTGGAGGTTGCAGTGACTGCTACTGCACTCTAGCCCAGGTGACAGAGTGAGAACCTGTCTCTGGAAAAAAAAAAAAAAAAAATCTCAGATCAACAATCTAACTTCATGCTTAAGGAACTAGAAAAAGAAGAGCAGACTAAACCCAAAGCTAGCAAAAGCAAGGAAATAAAAACAGAAAAATTAGCAGGGCATGGTGGTGCATGCCTGTAGTCCTAGCTTCTTGGGAGGCTAAAGCAGGAGAATCGCTTGAACCCAGGAGTTTGAGGCTGCAGTGAGCTATGATGATGCCACAGCACTCTAGCCTGGAGCAACAGAATGAGACTCTATCACAAAAAAAAAAAAAAAGTATAAAAAATTAGCTGAGCCCAGTGGTGGTATGGTGTGCGCTTAGTCTGAGATGGGAGGATCACTTCAGCCCAGGAGTTCGAGGTTACAGCGAGTATGATCGTGCCACTGCACTCCAGCCGTAAGAAGCAGGACCAGATGAAAGAGCCTAGCACTGCTACATGAAGACTACAGGACTGAGCAGCTGCGGGATATGAGCAGGAACGAAGAAGAGCCCAGAGGGGCCCGTGCTTCCTTTGGACCAGCAAAAGCTTTAGGTAGGCAGAAGCCAAATGAGATCAGAAAGCCCAAGTCTTTGCTAAGGCTGTCAGTGTTCCTGCAGAGCCATGACCCAGAGCCACTGTTTTCACCCCCGCAGAGGCTACCCACAGGTCAGGCAGGGAACACACAGCATGCCTACAGGTTACCAATTTATAAGTCTCTTCCTCCTCCTCCACCTCCTCCTCCCAGGGGCACATGGGATTATCTACCAAGAGAAAGAACAGTGAAGATCCTGACAGCCACATGGGCTTATCTAGTTACAGATCAGAGGTGTGTTACCTAACCTGTGGGGATTTCACCGAACAACTCATTAGGGTATCATAGCAGTGACTGACAGGCGAGGAAAAGGAACCCACTTGAGTAGACTATAACAGTCTACATTATATGCTTCTCCCACCTTCCTTCTTAGTCTCTCACCACCACCATCTTCCTCAGACCTGCCACGTGTCCTCTTTTCTGAATTACTCCCTTCTCTAGATTCCACTTCTCATATCCAGAAAGGTAGTGGTTTCCTATCACTTTGTTGCTCCTTTGAATTCCATCTTTAACAGTCGAGAACATTCTGGAACTACTTGTGTGTGTAACTCTAGTGGTGTGTATACTAAAGTAATTTCTGACTCCAGACCCTGGGAAAAAGAACTCTGGGCCTTCAGGGACACTTGTCTGGACAGCGCAGGAGAAATCAGCATTCAAGTGCGGCAAGTCTTAAGCTGCTTCTTTCTTTGGTTTCTTTCTCCAAACTAAGAAGATACCAGCTGTACATAATCAAGCAGCGTTTGTAGATTTTTCTAGACTCAAAAGAGCTTCTGATGCATTACAACCTTCATAAGAAGCAGGAACAGACGGTAGGTAGAGAGAAGACCAAAATTTCCCTTTTAAGCCTTGAAAGTATGTACACTAGGGAATGGACATAATGTGGCCTAAGGCCAGGGATGAGAAAGCTCTTGTTGGAACTGGCAAGAGAATCAACGGAATCCAGGCACCCTGGCTGTCACTCTGTCTCCTGTGCCACCATTATGCTGAGCAGTTTGAACAATCAAGAAAAACTAACTTCTTCCCTTCTTTCCCCAACTTGAGTGCTTAAGACTATTGAAGAGTAGTTACAGAATCAGATAAATATTTTGACTACACGGGATCAGGGGGGATCCTTAACTCTGAGAGAACAGTCCCACAGGGTCTGGGGGAAAAGGGAACTGTCTTGAGACGCTAGTCAAACTTTTCTGAGGCCAGATTCCCAGAAGTTAGGGGTGGGCTAGGATAAAAAACCCAGCAAAATAACCATATAACACTAGTGTAGCTGAATTTTAAAAAGGTTAATGACTTGGAAAAAGACCTTTATTAAAACACAGGCTAGGAATTATTACTAAAGAGGTAGCGCTCCTGTTAATAAGCTTCCTTAGGGAAGAGGAAACTAGGACAGATGGGACGATCATTACCATCCTAAATAAATTATTGTCTAAAACTCATCTAATTATACTTCTTGTCCTATTTTTACAAAAGTGGGGGGAGAATAAGTAGTGGTACAGGAAACGTTCTTATCAACCTTCTCAGACAGGCAGTCATCAGAAAACCTCTCTGAAGCGATTTCACCATGTCCAGGACTCTCACTGTAGAAGGTATGAATGAATATTTCTAGGCTGGGCACGGTGGCTCACACCTGTAATACTAGCACTTTGGGAGGCAAGTACAGGAGGACTGCTTGAGGCCAGGAATTGAGACAAGCCTGGGCCACATAGTGAGACCCTGTCTCTACAAAAAATAAAGAAAAGAAAAGCAACTGGGTGTCGTCCTAGCCACTGTAGTCCTAGCTACTCAGGAGGATTGCCTGAGCCCAGAAGTCTGAGGTTGCAGTGAGCTACGATGGTGCTATTGCATTTTAGCCTGGGCAACAGAGCAAGGCCCTGTCTCCAAAACAAAAAATTCTGGCCCACACTGAGAGGTCACTGTTATCTCCTGTTCAATCATGTAGGCTTAGCAGAAACAGCCCTGGGCTTGGATTCACAGAAGTGGGCTACAGTTCTGGCTCTATCATTAACCAGCTATGCAGACTTGGGCAAGACCTTATCTGGGTCTTAAATCCTTTTACCTATGAGCAGGTTAGATACTAATCACTAGAGGTCTTTAGACTCTTTCCAACTCTAAGGTTCTATTAGTGTAGGTGGAGCTAATAGGGAAGCTGGGAAGTGGCAGAGGAAGGAAAGGAAGAGAGAGATGAATTTCTTTCTTTTCTTGACTTTTATCCCAGTGAGCAAATGGCCTGTATACAAGAGGCCACAATTCAGACTTGGAGATAAAGTTGAGTCATTAAAACCACAAGCTGACTCAATGATGGGCCTGAAATAGTAGCTGTAATACAATCACATGGATTCTTCCCCTTGACACTCAAACCATTGTTCTCCCATACCCTGCAGATTGCAGCAGTTTACATGTTGCTTCTAATGAACCAACACTGATAGTAACTCTCCTCTTCCAACTCCTCAATGGGTCTTTGTATACTGGGTCACTCCCTCAGGTCCCCAGAGACCGGAAGATTTTAACATTCCTTTAAATTCTAGGGAAAAGGCTAGGGTCTTTGAAGAGGGACAGCTGCCTCTCTGGGAAGAAGGAGGGCTGTGAGGCAGATATGCCTAATAATGCTTCTATTTTTTTGGCTCAAAGCAATTGGCCAAGAGGAATAGTCAGAGACAGCTTAGTAAGGGGTGGAACAGCTAAGTCTAGTAGCCACAGAGGGAACTCTACAGCCGCTGGAGCCTTTGTGTTTTGAAAACGGGCTGTCTAGGCCTAGCCTCTCTCCTCTTCTCCTCTTAATCCTATTGTCACTGTACAAAAAAATATTAGAGTTGGAAGGGACCCTGGAGATCATTCTATTCCAACTCTCGTTTTATACATGAGGAAACTGAGTCCTAAAAACATTAAGTGACTTGCCTAAGGTAACATAGATGACATCAGAGCTAGATTTGACTTTGGGTCTTTTGATCCCCACCTAGTCCTACACTCTCTGCACTTCACTCTGATGCCTATCCTGTTTACGTTTCAAGCGAGGCCACATCACATCGCTTTACATGTTATGAATGTATCCAGGTCTAAAGAGCTTACCAGAATAACTAGAGATGGCTTCTCTGAGAGAGTCTCCCAGATATATTCAGGTGTGTTTAGTAAACTCAGAGCCCAGGAACGTAAGGTTACAGACTGGAGCCACTTTAAAAACATGTATTCTCATTTCACCTACTTTTCACTTTACCATCTCCTAGTATAAGTCTCCTCCTATTTCCTCTTGCACTGGGAGATAGTATTTTGACTACGTCAGGTCCTCTGCTGAATGGTTAGGTTCTAGCAAAATCCCTGTTTCTTCTGCCTGTGAGTCCTGGTTTCCTACTTGGAAAGAAGTGAAGAATGGGGTCTCCCCAGCACAGGGAAGCCACCGATGTCTGGCTGCCTGTGTCTAGGAAGCATCTGGAATTCTAGTATAGTTCCACAGGAAGAGGCTTAATAGGGAATTCCCCACCAAAGTCTGATGTAGGTTCACACTTAGCTGAAGGGGTCAAGGAAAACAGAGACACAATGTGCTTTCCTTAGGCTGGAAATGCTGAATGTGAGGCCACATCACCTTATATGGTGGGTAGGAAACAATGTTGCAAAAACCTAACGACTAAACACAAAAGTAACACAGTAAGACCAGCTGTACTCTCTACCCAAACACCTACCTATAATATTAATACTAAATGCTCTATCCCAGAGAGTTCCATACCCTTCATGCCTACTTCTCCTCCCTTTTAGAGAGCCTATACTCGGAGGATGCCAGAAAACGGATCAGAGCTGTGCCTAGGGATTTGACGGTTTAGAGAAGGTCCTAAAGTCATACAGGAGAGCCCTCAGAAGAGAATATCCCTCTGCGTATTCAGAGTATGCGTAAGACTAGGCAGCCAGCCATGACAGGTAAAACTCGTAGTGATCTACAACACTTGGGTCAGGACACTGAGTTTCTGTGGGCTAGCATGCTCTATACCCTCGGGTCCTAAGGTCCCCTTTCCAGGCCGCCACAGGTATTACAGGCCCCACAGATACCACTGTATTAATAACTAAGCACTGGCCAAAACAAGCCATACAACTCCTTCGCTTTACAATAACCTCAAAAGCTCAGGCCAGGCACAGGTGGCTCATGCCTGTAATCCCAGCACTCTGGGAGGCCAAAGTGGAAGGATCTCTTGAGGCCAAGAGTTCAAGATCAGCCTGATCAAGAGCGAGACCCCATCTCTACTAAAAATAGAAAAATTAGCTGGGCGCAGTGGTGCGTGCCTATAGTCCCAGCTACTGGGGAGGCTGTGGTAGCAGGATCGCTTGAGCCCAGGAGTTTGAGGTTGCAGTGAGCTATGACGATGCCACTACACTCTAGCCTAGGCGACAGAGCAAGACTCTGTCTCAAAAAAAAAGTAAAGCTCATATCAAATGGGCCTACAGAGTGCAGCAGTCAAGAAATAGGGAACATAGGTTTAATCCCTCTGACGTAGAAACCTTTAATGAGGCCTTTTCTGCAACTCTCACCCTTCAACCTAGGAGAGAAGCCATCACTCCTTGCTGCGAAGGGCCTTTTTCACTAAACACAACGGTGTGGGTCAACTCCACATGAGAGGTGGCCTCGGCTACAACCCTCTTTTGGACTAGTCGCTTGGCCACTGTGTGCTGCCCTCAAGGGAAACTTAACCATTAATCCTGGTCTATACTAATGCCTGGATCATCTGTCTTCCTATCTCCATAATTGTTTTTAGAGGCTCTGGCTCACTGTAATCCTCTTAAATCTTCTGAAGGTTGGGAAAGGAGGCTGCAAGGGGAGCGAATGGGAAAAGGCAAGAGCAGTGGCGGCTCGCTGCCCCTAAGGAAAAGGCAGTGTCAGACATGGCACAATCCTTCAGTTGAGGCGCTCTTCCATTCTTTCATCTGGGGGACCAGATGCCAACCTTCTCTCTATGGAATTTTATACTTTCTCTGATTAGTTTGATCTATGTATGTATGTCCTCTGCTTGTGGAGTTGAGAGTAAGGACTCTTATTTTTTCTCTGTATTTCAATCTATCCCTAATGTATAGTTTTGTGTTTAGATTAATTTTGTTCATAAATATGCCCACTCAAATCCCTGTGGCCCACAACATAGTTCCCTTTTTCCAAATTTCTCCTTCAAGAGAGGAAAGAAATGCAAGAATAATCAAATATAACTGATTTGTTGTCAGTCCCTCAAACCCTAGCTTTCCAAGTCAGCACTTTCTAACATGAGAGGAAGAGGACCAGATAATCCATTCTAGATGCACGGCCCATTGTGGAGAAGTTTCTAAACCTTTAGAGCATCATTATCTGCTCTCCAGCCCAAGACCAGCAGGACCAGGAGCTGAGAGGCCCCACGCCCTTCCACGCCAGGCTGAGCTCCAACTGCTTACTTACCCTGCCGGGGCCCTCTCTTCCGCCGGAAGGCCGCCCCTGACTGCAGGGCTTCCAGGAGACTGTCCATCACACCTGTCTCATCGCCCTCTGTCATGAAGAACAAAGATGGAGACGTCAACTCTTCAGCCAGAGCAGCATGGCAAGTGTCAGGCTCCACATAAAATGCATGGTTATTGCTTGGCTACCCCTCCCACAGGGGCTGGCAGCTAAGAACAGACAAAGGGTGCTCAATCTCAAATTTCACAGGTTCATGTTTACTTGTATCTGTTTAAAAATGGTCAAAACAAAAGGTTTCCCTGCCTACTATCCAGAGCAAACCTTGGGGCATTTTCCTACAGTGCCATCCTCTGTGTCCCAGTCGGGAAGACTAGCACATGGAATTGCAGAATTGCCAACCCCACTGCAATTGTGAAATTAATAAGCAACTACATCACTCCCTCTTTATCCCAAAGTGTTTCACACTGATTTACATAAAGCTCTCATGGATAGCGAGGTTCAGGTTTCAGACCAGGGCTGAGGAAAGAGACCACTGAGCAAGACTGCATTTCATCCCTTAGGTACTGCCTCCAGTGGCTGTGTCTCCCTGAAGCCAGCTCTGCATCTAAGAGAAGCAGCCCAGCTGGAATACAAAGAGTTAATGTAGAATCCTAGTTCCAGCCTGGCTCAGTTTCCATGGCAACAGCTCAGGATAGTGAAATCTGAAACTGTGAAATCCCACGGAGCCGGTTGGCTGCCAGAGCCAAGGTAGGGGCTCACTACTCCCAGCGCCACCTACTGGTTGAACATTACCAGTGCATCTGACCTACATTCCAACCTCACTTTCTTGACCAGGGTCCTGGGGACAGGGCAAGGTCCACTGCGCCACCTGTCGACGGGGCGCAGCCCTCATCCCACAATGCGGCAGGACTCCACCTTCCCCCAGTGCATCCTAGCCAGTACCTGAAGACAAACCACTGAGGCCCCGGGGAAGGTGATGGACCCTAGGTGTGGGCTTTAATAGCATTACTGGAACAGAGCTGTGGCTTACAACTGGGGGAAGGGCAAGGGATCTGTTTTCTAGACAAGTATAAAGAAAAGTCCCTGGGAACAAGATGTGTTGGTGTTTCGGCACCCTTTGCTGCTTGTGCTCTGCAAAGTGCTGATTCTTAACAGACCCAGCAGCCTTAAAAACCCCTTTGCTTGCAGAAGGCTTGTGGCCCCTCAGGTTCAGAGAAGGGTGGCATCAGCTCAGTGCCGTGGAAGCCATGTAATGCTGTATTTCCGCTGCCCGCAGAGAGAGCAGTGGGGGTGGGAGGGCAGGGAATCAGCAGCAGGAAAGAAACAGAGACAGGAAACAGAGGGCCAGTAATTGAGACCATATGTTTCAACAAAGACAGGCTTCTGGTAGTGAAAGAGATTCTGCTGAAAAAAGAAGAGGGTGGCCAGCTCTCCACCCCCTTCCAGAAGTTCAATCCATTTGCAATCTAATAGTACACACAATTGTGCTAAGGTACTAGGGACACAGTACTTAGTGAAATAAGCAGCAAGGGAAGACAAGCCACCATCAAAAGATGGGAGGAGGACCAGGAAAACATTTTGGGGAAAAAAACGCAAAAGATTTGGTGGAGGGACTGAGAACAGGCCAGAGGAACCTCTGGATGGGCGGAAGGAAAGAGTACATGTTACAGCGATACTAAAATCACTGGGGAGATAAGACATAATGCAAGAACCAGCAAAAGCGAGAGAAAGATTTTAGCATGGAAAATTGGAACGTGCATGGAACTGAGTTGGGGTTAAAGTCCAGCATCAGGACCTTGGAGGCAGAGGGCTGCCAAAATCCTGTGCCAGAAGCTGAGCTCAGACACGAGCTATTTTCTCTGGCCTCTGGATTCTAGACAAAGAAGCCTTCCAACAGCTCCGGTCTCAGTTCCTCAGCCCTCTTCACTCCTTACCTGCATTCATGTCTATGAGTTGCTCTCTCTTCTGCTGTTTCTCTAGCCGTTCCTTCTCGGCCTTCTCCTTGGCTAGTTTTGCTCGACGCATCTTTTCTTCTGTCTCCCGCCGCTTCTGGTTCTCCTTGACTGCTTGCTGTGGGTGGGGAGGGAGAGAAGAACACGTGGACATATGTACACCAACCACCAGCCAACATGGAGCCTGTGGAAAGTGAGAAGCGTCCACAAAAGATTCAGTCGGCAGGTATCCCTTACTCACCAAAAACATATTCCTAAAGTTGTGCAGATCCATGAAGAATTCTTCCACAGACAACTTCTTGGGGTCAAAGAGGAAGTAATCACCCAGATCCTTATAGAGGGTCTCCATGTTAGAATGCATCATGCGCAGCTTGTTGTACTGCTCCTGTGCGTCCTTCACAAAGCTGTGCAGCCAAGGAGTAAAGGACCAAGACCAAGAAGCACACTCTTAACTCGGCATACTGGCATGCACAGGGATGTTCAACTGTTTATAACTGAAAAAACCAAAAGCAATCTAGGTATCCTAAATAGGAGAACAGGAAACCAAAAGCTATGGTACACCTATAAAATAGAAGGTGTCAATTTAAAAAGAGGTTGTTCTGCATACACTAATATGCAAACGTGGCTAAGACACATTATGTGCAAAAAGCAATACAATGTAGTTTTTGTTTAAAACAGATTCAAGAGGTGTAAAGCAGAAAGAAGTCCAGTGGCAGGGGCTGCCTTTGGGCGAGGGAGGGAGAGGAGTATGTGAAGTGCGTGAGCATGTGTGTGGGGTACAGGCAGGGCACAGGGTAGGGGAATCGGGGACTTTTAGTTTATCTGCGTGGTTTGTTTCCACTGCCACCACAATGAGAATGTTTTCAAGGAGTATGTATTTAATGAAAAAAATTCTTTTTAAGAGGGAAAAAGTATACACTGCCGTATCTATCCTGTCATCTACCTCTCCACCAGAAGTTTTCTTTCCCTTCCTAGAGAGAAACTCCCTCCTTTCAAGACAGGATATAGTCATTTTTTCAACAAATTTGTCTTTTTCATCTGTGGCAGCTGGGAAATTCTGAACATCACGTTCCACATCAGAAATTTGTTTCTTCATCTGATCTAGGTTCTTTTGCAAGTTTTCAGCAGAAACTAAAGGAAACACAAAAATAGACAGTAAGAGCTTACTAATAATTCCAGCCTCAAGACCCCTTAGCTTCACTCTTCAAAGCACAGCTCCAGTCTACACACACATTTTGGTACTTAATTATTTTAGTTCTTTTATGTAATAATGTTAGTCATTTCACACATCTAAGTTTTCATCTTTCCAGTGAGATTATCAATTATTTGATAACTGAACCTCCGGCCTCCACAAGGTGCACGGCACAAAAGAGAGGCTTCGTTTAATTTAACATGAATCTATGAAATCCCCTGAGATCTCGGTCTCATTTATTTTAGAGAACAGGGTCTGGGAGGAGAAAGAAAGAGGCAGGGCAGAAATCTGTTCCTATTTCTACTGAATGCTTTTTCTTTGTCTAGTTCCAAGACAGTCAGGCCTCATTTTTGTTAATCCAGTCTATGCTTTTTGAATGAGAAAAACTGTTGACCTAGACTAAAAACACCTGCCTTCTTCCTGTTGTTTTTTTTTTTTTTTTTGGTGTTTGGTGTTTCCCTAAAAAGGGAAAAAGTGCTTCCCGTTTCTAAACATGAAGACCTCTCTTCAACTGTATACCCCTCCCTTGTGGCTTAGACATCATGCCTAAGCCCTCCCCCATTCCCACTTAGTCTGAATAGAAAATGACCTATAATCCAGACTGTGTCTTACTTATTTCCCTCCCGTTGCAGAGACTTTTGGAGCTCAGAACCACTTTCTAGCTTCACCCCAACCTGTCCCACCTCGGCTAGCTTTCTCCACGTGGGTAAGCTCATCTGGAAACTTGAGGACATCAGGATAGTCATTCTCACACAACTCAGCCAGGAAGTGCAACAACGTCATCTTCTGATCTGTGGACTTAGTGTCTCGAAGCTTAGGGTAAGAGAAGAAATTATTAGCCCTGACATGCCCAAGATGGCCTCAGGCCAACACTGGGCTCAGGGAGGCCACTGCCTTCCCTTGTGTTGTCCTGCTCTAACTCCTCGGCTCACCTTGCAGAGGAAGCTGATATTGAAGCCAAAAGCACCAGCATTCCTGGAGCCAGCATTCATGTAGTTTCCCACAAGCAAGGTAATCTCTAGGAGGCTGGCAAAGCTCTCACTCTTGCGCAGCTCCTCACATGCGGCAGTGACAGACACGATCTCTGGCTTGATATTCTCCACCTGCTCGCTGAATTGTAACTTGAAGAGGATGGCATTGAGGCGAGGCCGCAGGCGGGGCACAGTTCCCATCTAGTGTGGAAGACAAGCAATTCCATTACAGCCAACAGAGAGAGAAGAAGGAGAAAGATACAGGCTTGAACCTCCTATGGGAGGATCAGACCTCCTGCATAGGGAGGAGAGAGAGAGAGAGGTTCAAAATAGGTAAGAGGCGAGGAGCAAGTGCCCAGGCTGCTCTCCAGAGGGGAGAGGAGCACAGCAGGCAGAGAAGACCCTACGGCCATGGCCTCACTCACCACCACGCCAAACTGCTCTGACTCAGCCAGATCATCGTATTCGTCCTTCAGTTCAGAAAGCATTTTTAACTGCTCTGGCTCGGGCATCTGCTTAATGAGGTTCTGAAAGAGAAGAGATGTCTCAGTTCGAGTGGGAGGGGCTGACAGCTCGAGCCTAAACAACTTGTACTCTCCCGTCAGTCCCGCACTCTGTCCAAGGACCACTAAGAAGGAAACATGGGGTGTGGGGGGAGGAGAGGCAGCTAGTGAGATGGTAGGAGTTTTGAAAATTATACCAGAAATAACCCGACCACCACAGAAATGGCAGCTTCCGCAAAGCTCGCATTCATAAGTCAATAGTGCTAGAGGAGAATCCTCTTCATCTAAGCAGAGAGGAGATGAGGCTCGTGCGCAGCTGTGCAGAAGAGCCAGCTCCGGCAGAATGAACGACCTTACTCCTTACCTGGATCATAGACTCGGTCAGGACAGCCTCGTTCACCTCCAGGATGACGTTCTTAATCTCCTGATAGGCCATGCGGAAGGAACCCAAAAAGATTGCTGCCAGAAAATAAGACAGAGACACGTTCTCAGTCTCTTCCCCCTTCCCTTCCAACCCACCCTACAAACTCATGCTGGATAATCTTCCTGAGAGGGTTAAATCACTCTTAGAAATTTCTCTGCCTATATAGTTAAAATCCAAGTTCCTGAGTCCAGTATGAAAGGTTCCCACCTCCCAGCTTTGTCTTTCATTAATCCCCACACTTATATCACACACCAGACACTCTGTTTCATGTACCACATTCCACAAACCCTGGGATACTTTGCCTTTGCTCACACAGGAAGTCTTTGATGTCATCTGCCTATATACATCATAGACTTTTACCCCACTCTATTTTAGTTCTCCACTCCTAGGACTCGATCCTCAAAGCCGCCTTGACCTTAAACTGCCATATCCTGCTCCCTAACAAACACACATCCTGTCATTTCAGCTCTCTCACTTTCCAACCTCCAACTTGATCCTTCAACTTCATTAGGACCTCTCTCCAGTCTCCTGACCATTCTGCTTTCTCTGAATGTGTCAGTTCCACTCTGCCTTCTCTTTTTCACCTTGACCCTATCATTTGCTCTCTACTATTACTCCTGTTACTCCTACTGCTACAGCTAGCTATGCTCTTGCTTCCTGCTCCTTCCAGTCCCTGGTTAATCCAGCCATCTCATTTCTCTACTCACACCTGGGCTCATGCAGATCTGTGTCTGTGAATTTGTAGAGCACCAGCGATAGCTGGGGCCTCCGCGTTGCTTAGCAATCCCCTTTTGTGTGTCCCCATTCTGCTCTCTCCCACCCCTCTTGACAGCTCCTCCAAAATATCCCCATTCTGTTCTAAGAAGACTTTGCTCCCCTTCACTGAGGAAAATTGAAGCCATTGGTCAAGGTCAAATCATTTACTCAGATTTCTTCTATGATACTTAAAAATTGAGCACTGGGGGCTCTCAGCTAGAGCAGATAAGAAAAGGCTTGGGTGAAGACTATTTTGGAAACACCTAGAAGAAACCTGTGCCCAACACTTTTGCAAGCTTATTAGCATGTACTCATATATATCCCCCATATACTTGTCCTTTCCTCATGTTTCAATAGAAGAGGTGGCCTAAGGACCTTTTCCTTCAGCATATATGATCAAGTTTCTCCTGTCTTTAAAAAAGTCCTCCTGACCCAATGTTCCTTTCTAATTACTGTTTCTCTTTCCTTCACTTTACAGCATTCTAAAAACATAATTGTCTTCTATTCTCTCTCACTACCATAACTCTCATTTATTCTGTCCCCACAAAGCCAATGAAAAGACGGCAACCATTTGGAGTATATATACTCTAGGTAAGATACCAACCTGCCACCTCTCACTCGCATCCACTAAAAGAGAGACCTCTACCTCCCCCAAAAGAGAGAGAATGTGTTCTTGCTGAGTTTTCCTATTTCAGTAAATGGTACCACTTTCCGTGGAGTAACCTAAACCCAAGAAACATCTCCTTTATCCCCTCAGTCAATTCTGTTAATTCTACCTTCCTAATATCCTCTGCCTTCCTTTTCATTCTCATTACCTTGGTTGCAGGCCCTGACCACTTCTCACCTAGTTTACAGCGATAATGTAACTCACACCTCTCTGCCTACAGTCTTCCCCAGCCTGGGCGATCCAGCTTCAAAATCACTGCCAAAGCAACCTTCTTAAAAATACCTACAGTCATTTCCTTCACTTTCCTGATTAAAATCTCTTCACAGTAACTTCCACAGCTTCACTCAGCTATACTCAGTTCATTGTTCTGGAACCGCACAATGTTATCTCACGCCTCTGTACCCTCATACGTGCTGATCCTCGCCCGTCACTTAATTCCTCCTTATGGTTCTTCCAACTCAGTTTCGGCAGTCCCCCCTGTGGAACGTCCTTCGGGATTTGCCCCTTCCTCCAGTACTCCTCGCACTTGATTGAGACACCCCTTCCCGGTGCTCTCAGAAGCATTCCAGCACGACTCCATCACAGCACTTACCGATCCGTGCTGTATTATTATTTGCCTTTCTGTCTCTACCAGACACATGGCTCATAAGGACAGGGAGTCTGTCTTATGCAGCTTTGTATCCTTAGCACATAGAAGTATTTAATCATTGTTTAATCACCAAATTCCATCTCCCAGATCCTACCCCATACTATTCTCAATTCTGTTCTTTAATTCTGTTTTCCGTATTGTATCACTCCACTAGAAATAATGTACTGCGCCATGGTCTTTCTCGTATCATTTTCTAAAATAACAATTACTCATGTTTTATGTTCCTGGAGATAACTCTTGGAAAGAGGAACTGACTCACACTACTTAGTCTCATAAAAGGATTTCACCATAGATACTATTTAGTAATATTTGTTGAAAATAATTTAAGATTTTATAGTCAAGAATAACAATGTGCTCGCTTTGGCAGCACATATACTAAAATTAGACTGATACAGAGATTAGTATAGCCCCTGCACAAGGATGACATGCAAATTTGTGAAGCGTTCTGTATTAAAAAAAATTTAAAAAGAATAATGTAAATGTAAAGGCTTACTGCTCTTGTATCCCTCTGACTTTACTTACAGGTATGTGTACTTATTAGTTGTGTGACCCTGGGCAAGTCACAACATTTGAACTTTAGTTTTGTCATTTGGACAATGGGGACAATAATTGCATCACAAGATTGTGTGGCTGCGCGTGGTGGCTCATGCCTGCAATTCCAAAACTTTGGGAGGATAGCTTGAGGCCAGGAGTTCGAGATCAGCCTGGTGAGATCTACATCTACAAAAAATAAGAAAACTTAGCTGGGTGTGGTAGTGTGTGCCTGTAGTCCTAGCTACTTGGGAGGCTGAGGCAGGAGGATCATTTGAGGCCAGGAGTTCAAGATTGCCTGAGCTTATTACTGCGCCACTGCACTCCAGCCTAAGCGACAGAGTGAGACCCTATCTCTAAAAAAATAAATAAATAAAATAGGAAAAAGGAAAGATTGTGAGTAGGTTTTATGGAATATATACCCTTTCATCTCTGGAATACACGCCTAGTATGTGCCTAATAGAGCCCATCACATAGCAGACCCTCCAATATTTGTTGAAGAAGTATTTAAATCTGTATTCCTCAGCATTAAGTAGGTAGATCCACAGTTGAAATAAACAAACAAAAAATTAACATTCATCCTAATCATCAAATAAGTACTACCTGCATCAACTTTGCAGAGGAATTTCTGATTTGAAATTTTGCCATCAATCAGAGTTATGAGTATAGGTAGCAAGTTCAGAACAGAACTCTCTGGAGTTACTGATCCTACTCTGAGAAGTATAAGATTTTCCTAATTTACTTAAATCAGAAAGTAATTTTAGATTTAACTAAAGCCAAGCCAGTGCCTGCATTACTTATCAGAAAGCGGGAAAGCAGAAAATGCACAGTGGCTAGAACATTTGTGGCAGAGGCCGGGCACGGTGGCTCACACCTGTAATCCTAGCACTCTGGGAGGCTGAAGGGGGAAGATTGCTTGACCTCAGGAGTTTGAGATCAGCCTGAGCAATAGTGAGACCCTGTCTCTATTAAAAAATAGTAAAAATTAGCCGGATGTGGTGGTGCATGCCTGTAGTCCCAGCTACTTGGGAGGCTGAGGCAAGAGGATGGCGTCAGCCCAGGAGTTTGAGGTTACATGGCACTCTAGCCTGGGACAACAGAGTGAGACTCTGTCTCGAAAAAACACAAAAAACAAAAACAACAATAACAAACAAACAAAAAAACCAAAAAAGAACATTTGTGGTAGATTTTCTTTTATCCTTCTTTTTTTTTTTTAATTTTTATTTTTTAATATGAAGGGGTGGACGGTTGTGAGAAGGGGGGCTCAGTTTCCTTGTTTGTTTTCTTTGAAACAGAGTCTCACTCTGCCACCCTGGGTAGAGTACAGTGGCATCATTATAGTTCACTGCAACCTCCAACTCCTGGGCTGTAAGTGGATCCTTCTGCCTCAGCCTCCCGGGTAGCTGGGACTACAGACACACGCCACAACACCCAGCTGGGTTTTTTTCTTTTTCTTTTTGGTTATCCAGAGTGTTAGGATTACCTTTTTCTTTTTGGTTATCCAGAGTGTTAGGATTACAGGCGTGAGCCACCGCACCCAGCCTGTGGTAGATTTTCTATGGATACAGTAGAAATAGTAAGGACTTTGAAATAAGAAAGTCTGAGGCTCAAATCTCAGACCTGTCTCTTACTAGCTATATGACTAGGCAAATTCCTAAAAGTCTTAGCCTGTTTCCTTGACATAAAACTGGATACTTAATAATCTTGCAGGGCTATTGAAGGGATTAAATGAGATACTGGAAATAGACTATAGAAAGCCTGGCATATAGCAGGAATTCAACAAATGGAGGTTTCATATTAAGGGACCCTAGATTCAAGAGAATTAAGTTCTTAAAAGAACCCCTTCACATTTCAAATAGCTGGGATCACAGTTACTTACAGAGATTCTGAGCTGTCTTTGAATCCAACACTTTTAACTCTTTTACTTTCTTCTTTTGCACAGATTTCTTTTCTTCTCCACCTTCCTGATCCTTCTTGGCTAGAAAGGGAAAGATTAGAAAAGCATGATTAAGACTAAGCCACCTCTGTGCCTTATTGAACTACTACTGTCCAGCCTGGAATGTCCCCTCACCTCCTCTCTATTATAATGGTCTCCCTATAGCATTCCTTCAAGGATAACCTGCTTTTTAATCATCTACCTTTCTATTACCAACCCCGTCCAACTATATATAATAAATATCTCATTTTCATTTCTTTGATAGTTATCAATCATGCTTTCCTATCTACTTGCGGAGATCAGCAAACTTTCTGTAAAAAACTGGACAGCAAATATTTAGGCTTTGCAGGCCATATGGTCTGTCTCAGTTTCTCAGTTCTGTCACATAGCATGAAAGCAGCCACAGACAATAAATGAATGGGCCTGGCTGTGTCCCAATAAAACTTTACTCACAAAAATAAGTGACCAGATTGCAAAGAGTAGTTTGTCAGCCCCTGTGCCAGACGGAGTCTTCCACCATGTTATTCTTTCATGTCTGTTAAAAATTCTACTTATCTTTCAAGCTCCAGCTTAAACATGACTTTCCCTATAACAGTTTTGTTTCTCCAACTGCCTATGATCTCTCTCTGAACTCCCAATGAAAATGATCTCTTTATAGCACTTCCTCTCACTGACTTTGTTATAAATACATAAAGTCTCTCCTCTATAAGGGCTATGTTATTTATCTTTGCAAATCCCATGCCATATTTATATATTTCTCTCTCTCTCTACATATATATATAGTTTTTTCTTTGTGGTTTTTTTTTTTTTTTTTTTTTTTGAGACAGAGTCTCACTCTGTCCCAGTAGCTGGGACTATAGGAATACTCCATGATGCCCAGCTAAATTTTCTATTTTTAGTAGAGACAGGGTCTTATTCTTGCTCAGGCTGTTCTCAAACTCCTGAGCTCAAGCAATCCTCCTGCCTTGGCCTCCCAAAGTGCTAGGATTACAGGCGTGAACCACCACGCCTGGCCAAAAATATATTCTTGCAGGAGCTTATTGCTTAAACATCACCTTGGTGAATACATAGAAAATATACTCCTTTCCTTCTATGCTCTTTTCAGACTATCCAAAGCCAATGTATTCTTCCCTTTCCACGAAGCTTTCCCTGATAAATGTACACACTCTCTGCTTTGATAAACTAATTTTTATAGTATTTGTTATCTATACCTCATTCAACAATTATTCAATGTTTTATGACGTCTTATAAGTTACCATCTTGATCTTTTTAAAGGCTCTGTTATTGTATCATCTTAATTTTTTTTTTTTTTTTGAGACAGGGTCTCACTCTATCACCCAGGCTAGCATGTACCGGTGTCATCATAGCTCACTGCAACCTCAAACTCCTGGGCTCAAGCAATCCTCCTGCCTCGGCCTCCCAAAGTGCTGGGATTATGGGCATGTGCCACCATGTCGAGCCTCATCTTGATATTTTTAAAGGCTCTATTACTGTATAAGTGTGAGTATTTTCTCATCCCACCTAGATTTTGAACTTCAAGGGCATGGACAAATAATATTTCATTGTATCACTCCCTGGGCAGCTAGCATGATAGTAACATTCGCTAAAAAATGGTTGACGCCAGCTATTGTGGAGAGTTGGGCAGTACATAGAAAAGAAATAGGAACTGTTCTGGAAGACACTAACTGCAAAACGATTTGCCCTATCTCATAAGTTGGTATCAACTTCTCAGAAAGCCATATGGGCACGTCTGAAAGAAGAGTCCAGAATGAGTCTCACTACTTTTAAGATTCTTTTGGCTATTCTAGATCCCTTGTAATTTCATATGCATTTTAGAATTAGCATGTCAATTTCTACAAAGAAGTCAGCTAAGATTCTGATAGGGATCATACTGAATCTGGAGACCAGTCTGGGGAGTACTCCATCTTAACAATATTAAATTTTCTGAACCACGAACATAGGATGTTTTTCCTATTTATTTAGATCATTAACTTTTTTCAAAAGTGCTTTGTAGTTTTCAGAGTATAAGTTTTATTTGTACTTCTTTTATTAAATTTATTCCTAAGTAGTTTATTCATTTAATGTTTTTGTGAATGGAATTTTGATTTCATTTTGGATCGTTTATTGCAAATGTATAAGAACATAATTGATCTTTTTATATTGATCTTCTTTCTTGGCAACCTTGCTGAACTTAACTATCTTTAATAGTTTTTTACTGGATTCTGTAGGATTTTCTATATATGAGATCATATCATCTGAGAATAGAGATAGTTCTACTTCTTTATTAACAATTTTGATGTCTTTTAATTCTTTCTTGACTAATTGTACTAGCTAGAACCTCTGGTACAATGTTGAACAGAAGTGACAAGAATAGACATCCTTGTCTTGTTCCTGACCTTACAGAGAACACTGTCTCTCACCATTAAGTAGGCTGCAAACTGTGGGTTTTTCTTAGATGCCCTTTATAAGGCTGAAGAAATTCTCTACTATTCCTGGTGTGTTGAGTGTTTTTATCATGCAAGTGTAGTTGGATTTTGTCTAATACTTCTTGTGCATCACTGAGATGATCACATGATTTGTTTATTATATTGATATGATGAATTGCATTAATAGATTGTCAGATGTTAAACTTTCTTTGCATCCCTGAGATAAATCCCACATGGCTGTGAATAAATCCCATGTGGGTGTGAATAATTTTTTTTATATGTTGCTGGATTTGGTTTGATAATTTTTCATTCAAGATTTTTGCATCCATACTCATAAAAGATATTGCTCTATTGTTTTTTCGCTTATGATGTCATTGTCTGATTTTGGTATCAGGGTAATACTGGCTTCATAAAATAAGCTGGGAAATGTTCTCTCCTTTTCTATTTCTTAGAAGAGTTTCTAAAGAATTAGTATTAATTCTTCATTAAATGTTGGATAGAATTCAGCAGTGAAGACATCTGGGCCTGGGCTTTTCTTTATGGGTAGTTGTTGATTAATGATTCAATCTCCTTACATGCTGTTTATTCAGACAGTCTATTTCTTCTTCAGTGTCTTGGTAGTTAGTATGTTTCTGGGAATTTGCCATTTCACCTAGGTTATTTAATTTGTTGGCATATAATTATTCATAGTATTCCTTTGTAATCCTTTTTATTTATTCCAATCCTGGAAGGTTGGTAGTGTTTACTCTCTTTCATTTCTGATTCTAGTAATTTAAGTCTTTTTTTCTCTTTCTTTTCTTGGTCAGTCTAGCTAAAGTTTTGTGAATTTTATTTATCTATCAAAGAATGAGCTTTTGGTTTCATTGATTTTCTCTATTTTTTTCTATTCTCTATTTCATTAAGCTCCACCCTAATCGTTATTTCCTTCCTTCTGCTTCCTTTAGATTTACTTTGCTCTTTTCAGTGTCTTAAAGTCGAAGCTTAAGTTATTGATTTGAGATCATTCTTCTTAATATAGGCATTTGCAGCTATAAATTATACCACCTAAGTACTGTCATATCTGCATCTCGTAAGGTTTTGTTTATTGTGTTTTCATTTGCATGCATTTGAAAGTATTTTCTGATTTTCCTTTTGATTTTTTCTTGACCCACTGGTTAAATAACCGGAAGTGCATTGTTTAATTTCCACACATCTATGAGTTTCCCATTTTTTGTTATTGATTTTTAATTTCACTCCATATGGTAAGAGACCATATTTTATATTAGTTATATCCTTTTAAATTTATTGAAGTTTGTTTTATGGTCTAACCTGGAGAATATTCCATGTACAGTTTAGAAGAAAGTATATTATGCTATTACACTGTTGTTGGGTGCAGTGTTCTACAGATGCCTGTTAGGTCTAGTAGGTTGTAATGCTCTTCAAGTCTTCAATTTCCTTGTCGATCTTCTGCCTAGTTGTTCTTTCCAATATTCAAAGTCGGGCTGTTATGGCCTGAATTGTGTCCCCTTCAAATCCATACATTCAAGTCCTAACCCCCAGTATCATAGAATGTGATTGTATTTAGAGACAGGGTCTTTAATGAGGTAATTAAGTTGAGGTGACCAGTGTCCTTATAAAAAGAGGAAACTAGGACACACACAGAGGGAAGCTCCTGTGAAGACACAGGGAGGAAAAGAAAATCATCTACAAGCCCAAAAAAGAGTCCTCGGAAGAAACCAACCCTGCTGGTACCTTACCTCATGTTTCTAGCCTCCAGAATTGTGAGAAAATAAATTTCTATTGTTAAGCCACCCAGTCTGTGTCCTTTGTTATGGCAGCCCTGGCAAAAGCAATACAGGAGGTACTGAGACCTCCAAACATTATTGTCTATTTCTTTCTTCATTTTTGTCAGTTTTGCTTCATATATTTCAGTGTTCTGTTACTGGTTGCATATATAATTGTTATATCTTCCTGATGGACTGACCCTTTAATCATCATGAAATATTCCTCTAACACTAGTAGCAAGTTTTGTTTTGTTTTTTTTTTAAGAGACAGAGTTTCACTCTTTTGCCCAGGCTGAGGTTCAGTAGTACAATCACAGCTCACTGCAGCCTTGAACTCCTGGACTTAACTGATCTTTCTAACCTCAACCTCCCGAGTAGCTGGGACAATAGGCGTTGCTGAGCTGGTCTCAAACTCCTGAGTTCAAGCAATCCTCCCACCTTGGCCTCCCAAAGTGTGGGAATTACAGATGTAAGCCACCATGTCTGACCGCAGTTTGGAAGTCAATTTTGTCCAATATTAGTAACTCTAGATTTTTGTGTGATTGTTGTTTGTATGGTACCTTTCCCACCCTTTTACTCTCAATCTATTTGTGTCTTTGAATCTAAAGTGTGTCTCCTGTAGACAATAGATAGTTGAATCATGTTTTTTAATCCAGTCTTTTTGATTGGCTTATTTAATCCTTTCATATTTAATATTAAGTACTGATATAGTTGAATTTATGTTTGACATTTTACTTCTGTTTTCTATGTCTTATGGCTTTTCCCTCTACTCTTCCTTCCGTGCTTTCTTTGGAATTAAGTGAATATTTTCTAATGTAGCATTTCAATTTCATTAATGATTTTTTCACTATAT